GTGTGCATCTGTGCCTGTAAAACATTCTGGTCTTTTACCTCCTGTAAAAATGTTGAGTACCTTCTTTAAGAACCACACACGTGAAAATATAAGCTTGTGCGAGCTCACTGCTCTTCCAGCAGAATTATGGTTGGCATTAGCACGGCATTACCCATTGTGATGAGGCATTATTAGTTTGTACTGACAAAAAAAATCTTAATAAATAGAGAATTCATTTTCAAAAATCTGGTGCTTAGTGTTGGGTATGTGTAAAGAAAGGCACGCTTTTCTTTGGCTTGAATAAATTAACTAGTAGACTGAATAGTGTGACAAGTTTATTCTAAAAGTAGCAGTTTTTGATTTCACAATGAAACTGTAAAGTTTTTGACTGCCACTCACTTTATGATAGAATTTAATCACAGAACAGCATGCGTGGACAATAATATTAGACTTAATGAGTAAAAGACTATGAAATCAGAGAAGCAGCTGTCAGTTGGACAATTAACAATAAGCCAATTTTGACACCACATCCATGCTTTGATAATTAAATGGAAAAATAATAATAACCTGAAACAAAGCCTATGCTATGTAAGTCTACAGGCATGTGAAAAACTAGGTACACCCTTACTACTGCCATAGGATTAAAAGGGTAAGTAACTGCCAGGTGCTGCTAATCAGATGCACTTGATTAATTGATCATCGGTGTGTGTGATCACCTCAATTAAAGCAGACACTTTAGCAGTTTGCTGGTCTGGAGCGTTCAGCCGTTAACACAATGCCAAGGAGGAAAGACATCAGTAATGATCTCAAAAAATCCACTGTTATTACTCATCAATCTGCAAATGGTTATAGGGCCATTTCCAAACAGCTTGAAGTCCGTTATTCACAAGTGGAATATATTCAAGACAGTTTCCAATATTCCCAGGAGTAAATGCCCAGGAAACTCACTCCGAGGTCAGAAACTAAAATTTGAAAAAGACTGAAGCATGATTTGTTTGGAAGGGTTGCTTTGTTTCTTTTATGTTTGGTCATAAGCACCACATTTGGAAAAAATCAAACAGAGCGTCAGAGCACAAACATCTAACACCAGCAGCAGGACAATGAGCCCAAGCACATTAGCAAATCTACAACAAGTATAGCTGTAAAGAAAAGAATCAAGGTGTTGCAATGGCCCAAAGTCCACACCTTAACCTAAAATGCTGTGCCGGGACCTTAAAAGAGCTATGCATGATCATAGAGATAATATTTTAGGTAAAGTTCTCCAGAATCACACCACCAAAGTATTATATTAACAAGGTCCTGACATTTGCTTTGACTACGCAAAAGCTTCAGAGCTACAGATGATCTTCAGATGCAGGAAAAAGGTTGCTTGAAGTTCCTAAATGGTTATTAAAGGTCAAAAGCAAACAGTAATGTTTTCTGGTAGAGAAAAAAAATGTGTACTTTTAGTTGCATTGTTTTGGAAGCCTTTGTGAAGCAAAGCCCCCTGAATAATGTGTCATCCATTTGGCTGTCCATATTAGGCTTTGATTAAGCACTTGTTGTAGTTAAAACTGGCACAAAAACAGCTAATTAGCCCGAGGTACTTGGTTATGTTTTTCAGGCCACTCTCAGCAGGAGTGAGCAACATTACTGATTTCCCCTGTAGCAACTCCCAGCTGAATGTGTGGAAGCTCTTTTCCCTGTCAGGTGTTTAGAGGTCTGTGTTGCATCTGAGTTGTTACCAGCTTCAGAGGTCCTACACCAAGCTCTGTGCTGTGCATAGAAATAGGCAAATCACACAAAAGGTAAGGCCCCAGCAAATCAAAGCTTTATGGAAGGGCACATAGGAATGTGTGCATTTATATAAACAAGAACACAGACAGTCACGTATACTCTATATACACCTTTGGGCATTGAAACTTAAGCTACATCAAAGCTTTTCATCTGCCTTTAGGCTGTTTCCAATAGGATAAAGAGAGAACGCAAGGAGAGAGAAACGAAGAAGATGGGAAGATAACTCATGGTGAGCAGCAGTGAGAATAGAGTTGAGGAGAGACACAAGCCATGGAAGAATTCACTTTTAAGAGCTAAGAAGAAAAGAGAAAAGACTTGATGTAAACAATGCTGAAGGGGACAAAAGCAGCAAACGAGGAGCCACATCAGTTATACGCTTGTCTATCTCAGTAGATTCAGATTTTATGCTCTCAAGCAACTGTAGAAGCATGCCCGAGGGAGGCAAACTTATCAAATTATTGTGTTGATGTGAAATCTACATGCGACCACATCGTTACCTTACATCACACCTTACAATGCGTGCTTCTTTTTTGCATAGTGCATCACATTTGATGTAATTCTGGTCACCTAACATGACACAGATATCAGCGAGAAGCAGCTGCATAACGTTAGCTTCACGGGTTGAGAAAAATGTCTCAAGCGTGTCAAAAAGTATAGTATGGGTTTCTGTAAAGCTGTGCTTTTGTGTGTATCAGGTGGGGTTAAAGTGGTGCACATTGTGACCTGAAAAACGGTCCTGAACAAAAGCGTCTACAGCATGTGAACAGTATGTCAAAGTCGTGTCCTTAAGAAACAGGAAGAGATATATGAGACATTTGATCCATCTACTATTCACTCGGGCCTCATCAGAAATGGTCTCAGTGAAAGGATGGCTGTCCAAAAGTCCTTCTTAAGGAAGTGAAGCAGAGTCCACAAGATCTGGACTGAAAATCAGTGACAACTGATGATTCCAATTTTCAAATGTTCAAATTTTTGGTTTATCAGTATGTATGTGAGTGCGAGAACATCTTCAAAAGTTTACTTTTCAAGGGACTGGTGGCTGTCAAGAAGCCCATCTTAAGAAAGAAAAATTGAGATGTGCCAAATTACAGAAGAAGTGGATTGAAAATGAGATGAAACAGGCTTTATGGAGTGACGAATCCAACTTTCTGACTCAAAAAGTTGTCGAAGGAGGTCAAGAGAGCATGGTTTGGGGCTGAATTTCAGCCACTGGTGTTGGAAATATTGTCAAATTGATGGAATTGTGAATGCAGAAAAGTACTCTCAGTACTCCACCATTTGGAAAGTGTCTGGTTGGCACCAGTTTCATTTTTCAGCATAACAATGATGTACTGGGAGAGCGGTAAAAACATACCAACAGTATCACTCATGGATTGGCCTCGCCAACGGGCACATTCAAAATCAAAACTTAACGTTCTTGCTTTGAGGTCACTGCCTGCTAACCACTACACCTCCGTGCCACCCTAAGTTTATTCTGGTTTCTATGTTTATATTATTAGCTCAGAATACATTTGATATATGCTTGATTTTGTACATTAAACTTAAAACTCATTATGTATTGCAGCAGTGCACACAGGCAGCGCTTCACTCCTGACAAACTGTCAAGGCTGGTTTTAATCTTTATGTTTGATCAAATGCACATTTTTAAAACTCTGAACATCTTTTTTTCACTTTTCTAGAAAATTATAAGCAAGCACTTGATAAACAGTCAGTTTGCTCCCTTCCCAGTTTTTAATTCCTGCAGCTTTTAGTGCAGAACCTCAGCCTTCATAACATCCACGTCCCTGACCAGATCACTGGAACTAATAGCCCATTATGTATGAACTAACAGGCACATTTCCTTCTTGGGATGATTAACATTTTCCAGTCATTACTTTTGTGCAGGGTTTAACACACCTTTCCACCTTACGTGCAATTTTGTATTATATTGTTTTCTGCTCCATGTGGTTTTGTTCTGTTTATTCACATCCAAAAATATAACAGTATCAACCCTGTGTCCTCCCCCTCCCTCCCTCCCACTCTCTCTTAAGGCTCGTCCTATTTCTTCAAAGGGAAGGAGTACTGGCGAGTGCCAGGCAGTGACATGGAGGTGGAGGCAGGATACCCCCGCCTCATCGCAAAGGACTGGCTGCTGTGCACAGAGATGCAGTCGGACTCTCCGGACACACAGCCCAAAAGCACAGAGACGAGAGTCAACGTGCAAAATCACCCAGATCACGCGGAGAACGGATACGAGGTGTGCTCCTGCACCTCGGACACCGCATCGCCTCTAGGCGTCCGCCCATCCCCGTCTCCCGTCTGGCTGCTGCCGCCACTCTGGACGCTGTCACTGGCCCTCCGCTCCGAACTGCTATGATGCTAAAGCATGGGACACAGTTCTCAAGCTGGGTGCAAGAGTTTAATTATTAGTGAAGGGCCAGTGGACACACACTAAAGTACAAACGGGAAATTTCTGCTCATATAAGTATTGATTGGTATGTTTTTACCATTATTTTGTTGTTATTTATTTCACATGCCATTTGATGGTCCTTTAAAGCGCCTTGCAGTTTGGGATGTACATACCATTATCATACTATCAAACTAAGGTACCCCTGACAGGTATCAATACATCCACAATGATAA